CCTGGAAAGAAGGGAAGTGCATATAAGACATAAAGAAAATTAAAAAATGAGAACACAATAGAAACTACGTGTTATACCCTAAAAGAAAGTCCTATGATAATTAGGACACGTGTAGACAATCTAGAGATAATCCTATCAATGTAAGGATAGAATAAATTCTAATAGGATAAGAATACCAAAACACCAATTAAATAAAATTGTATTCCTAGAATAACTGTGTTTAAGCATCCTATAAATACCCTAGGATCAACCTAAGGAGGTAGATTATTTCCACTATCATTCTCCCTCTATTGTAAACACTCTCTATCAATAAAGATCTTGGTCTCACACCATCTACTTTATTTTTACAGTTAACATTTGGCGCCCACCGTGGGGTCGAGTTCTTTTTGATCCATGAATACCACATGGAAAATTCAAAAAATTCATCACCTCCTAGCAGAAGCACCCTAGATTCCAGAAGCAAAGCCAGAATGAGCAACTCCTCTTCATCAAGCACGAATCCAAGAGATACTGTCAACAAAGCCAAACCATCAGACTCAACGGTAGCATCGCAAATACAGAAACTTACACAAGACATGGAAGAAACCATGCAAAGTCTAAAAGCAATCGAATGGGCCATAGCATCTATGACAAAGGCTACTAATACCTCGTCACAAGAAGCTAAACGAGAGCGCTTATCACGAAGTGACGCCAGGACACTTGAAGGGAAGGAGCAAGATTCAGCACAAGGAAACAGTAATCAAGATGAAAGCTACGTACCTTCAAGATCGACAGAATTGACAATCGACACGAGCTTACAACCATCCTCAGCTTTCACTCAATACAATTTTCGGAGTAAAAACATGATACCTCGTACACATTCAAACCAAAGGAAGGCTAGCCAACAAATCCAAGAGGCCACACTCACGGCAGCAAGTCCACAAAAGACAGAAACACAGTTTCATGATGACAGTGTTTACAAAGAAATTGAGGTGTTGCGACAACATCTGGCAAAGATAGAAGCAGGCAGGCAGAGGTATGTAGAACCAGCACACACAGCTTCAGTAGAAAAAGCCTTTATAGACCACATCATCAGGGAACCTGTGCCATCAAACTTCAAAACTCCGCAGCTAGCTGAGTACGATGGAACTCAAGACCCAGTGGAGCACGTGCAAGGATATAGAATGGCAATGATGGTATATGGAGCCTCGAATGCCCTATTATGAAAGCAATTCCCAGCAACTTTCAAGAAAGCTGCGCAGGCTTGGTTCGCAACATTACCAGAAAAATCTATCCAGACCTTTGATCAATTTGCGAACATGTTCATCAATCACTTCACTACCAGCAGAGCTCCCCGAAAGACTAACCATCATCTCCTAACAATTAAACAAAAAATAGGAGAGTCACTAAGAGCCTACATAGCAAGATTTCACAACGAAACTGTGCAAGTAGAACGATTGGACCAAAGCATGGCAATGCATGCTCTAATGGACGGACTTAAAAACTCAAGTTTCTATAGATCTCTAAACAAGCGAGAACGCACCAGCCTTAATGATCTCTTAAGAAGGGCGGAAGGATACATCAGAGCAAAAGAAAGGGCGGCAGTAAAAGAAGCACAAGAAACATCAAATTCAGAAAGAAAGCAGAAAATAGAAAAAGATATAGATAATGAAAGTACCAAAGATAGAAAACAGTCAAGATACAACTACCTCCATATTTGAAGAAGCTTTGTTACAATCACATTCAACCACATCAAATGATGAATCAAATTCTGCAAGGCAAGATAGACATCTCAAAATTCTACATGCACCAATCTTAAAAGAAAGCTGCGATCCCAACTAAGTATATTTACTTTTTAATTCTCTAATTTTCAACCTCAATAATCATGCAAGTTATTGTGTTTTTAATAAAACTAACATTTCTCTTGAGAAACTTTTGGGAGAAGGCCACATAGGCCAAAAAGCTCCAAGCAGAGGAATTCAATTACAAGATGCACAAGTCTAACAAGAGTTATGAGACAAAAAGTCACAAAGCAAAAAAGCTGCGAGCAAGTTTGGATGTACATAAATATCCAAGCAAAAGTTACACAAGCAAAAAGAAGCTGTGAGCAAGTTTGGGTGTACATTAAATACCCAAGCAGAAGTTACACAGACAAACAAAAAAGCTGCGAGCAAGTTTGGATGTACATAAATATCCAAGAAAAAGTTACGCAAGCAAAAAGAAGCTGTGAGCAAGTTTGGGTGTACATTAAATACCCAAGCAGAAGTTACACAGACAAACAAAAAGCTGCGAGCAAGTTTGGATGTACATAAATATCCAAGCAAAAAGAAGCTGTGAGCAAGTTTGGGGGGTACATTAAATACCCAAACAGAAGTTAAACAGACAAACAATAAAGCTGCGAGCAATTTTGGATGTACATAAATATCCAAGCAAAAGTTACGCAAGAGAAGCTATGGGCAAGTTTGGGTGTACATTAAATACCCAAGCAGAAGTTACACAGACAAACAATAAAGCTACGAGCAAATTTGGATGTACACAAATATCCAAGTAAAAGTTACACAGGAAACAGACCGTGAGCAAACTTGGGTGTACATAAATACCCAAATAAAAGCCACGCAAGATGCACCACAAAGGATAAGACAAATCTCAGAAAATAAGAAAACATATTTTCCATGTATATAGTCTTAATAAAAAGCACAAAGCAAGGCAAGAGGAAAACGCAACCCACATGCAAATTGATCCTTATACACGCACATATCAGGAGGAAGGCATTGAACTACCGCGTGGCCCGCCGGATGCTGAGGAAGAAAAACCTGCGGATCTATCAAATTCTTTCTATAAATACTCCCTAATCTCATCTACATCACAACTACTGGTAACCCAAGACACTTTGTCAAGATCACAGAATATCTTCGTCGAGCCTAGGGGAAGAACAACTTTTCCACCCTTTGAAGAAGAAACCGAAGGAACCTCGGTAAGAAGGGAAGGAACCACGGGATCCCTCTCCACATGACGTAAAGCGCCCTTCACAACAAACTTCCCATCCGCATTGAGGGGAAAGCAAAAAATATCAAAAGGCTCCGGCGCAGAAGAAAAGGGAAGGACACCCACGTCATCAACGGAAGAACCGGAAACAACAACCGGAACAGAACCACCAGAGGCAGAGACCAGAACAGAGCCGGAAGCAGAAGGCGGAATAAACCCAGAAGCAGAGATCAGAACAAAGCTGGAAGCCACAACCGGAACAGAATCGGAAACAGTCACCGGAACGGAACCAAAAGCAGAAGTTGGAATAGAACCAGAGGCAGAGGGATTACCGGCCATAGCAGGATCACCGGCCTGATCAAGCCACAAGATCTGAGAAACCTTTCTCAAAAAAAGAAGAAGACAAAAGAAGAAAAAGAAGAATCAAGGGAAAACAAAAAGAAATCAAGAGGAAGTCAAACAAAAAATGAAAAGGAAGAATCGGGAAACTCAAAGAAAGCCCCAACAAGCCAAAAGGATAAATTGCATAAAATCCCAAGAAAATAGGGGTTTGAACCAAAAGGGCCTGCCATACCAAGAATCCACACAACAGGGGCCACGTGCACAAAGTGGCTGCCAAAAAGCAGAAAAATTCGGGAAATGCAGCCGTAAAAAAAGTGGAAAAATCAAAGAAGGGCCTGAACAAATCTACAGAATAATTAATTTCAAATAGAAACTTTTAAAGGAAACTGCGCCAGGAATCACAAAGAAAAACCTGTGCTGCACTCTTTTTTCCTTAAACTAGATTTTTATCCCACAGGGTTTTTTCTAGTTAAGGTTTTTAACGAGGCAGTCATGGTTAAAAAAAAAGAACCTGCGCAGAATTCAAAATCAAGATCAGCAGAGCAAAAAGGCAGACACTTGTTGAAGTTTTCGTTATCCTCAAACTTCTTCGTTGGGGGGCAAATGTTATACCCTAAAAGCAAGTCCTATGATAATTAGGACACGTGTAGACAATCTAGAGATAATCCTATCAATGTATGGATAGAATAAATTCTGATAGGATAAGAATACCAAAACACCAATTAAATAAAATTGTATTCCTAGAATAACTATGTTTAAGCATCCTATAAATACCCTAGGATCAACCTAAGGAGGTAGATTATTTTACACTATCATTCTCCCTCTATTGTAAACACTCTCTATCAATAAAGATCTTGGTCTCACACCATCTACTTTATTTTTACAGTTAACACTACGCAACAAGCCAAACAACATCTTTCAACGGAGATCACATCAAAAGATAGAAAGAGC